TGTAAAATTGTGCTGGTGCCACACAAATTCTAAAGAATGAGTTAAAAGAGCAAACATGTCATAAAATGTTTGAGATAAAAGAGAGAAGTATAAAAATCAACTCAATGAACCCATTTGCTGGGGCCTGCCTTCACTCATACTGTGAATTTTGCCGTTGCTAATAGAAGCAGGATCAAGCCCCAGGGAAAACTTGTTGAGATGTCACACTTTTGTTCATCATTATTATCCCTCATGTCTCCAGTCTGCCAGCAATAGAAGGTGCTTAATTTTAAGCCTATGAATAGTCCACAGAAATCAACAGAGTTGCCTACTTAAAGATAATTGTGCTCTCTGAAACTAAACCCACAGTGTGACTTGTTCTCATGTTTGTCACTTTAAAGTGCCTAAATCTAATATGAAAATGCTACCAGTCTGCTCAGCACCAGTACTCAGCTGCAGCAGGACCTGTTGTTACTGCAGTTTCCAGTGGGACGCATGTGCAAAACTGGCTAATTATTGCCAAAATCAATCAGATTGAAACTGGAGGGCATTGGGAATGTCAAGTCTTATGAAAAAAAAAATATGTATAAGGCTTTTATTTGAAAGAAATCATTAAAATTATGATCTTGAGATAATAAGAACAATACATTCAAAAATCTGAATGATTCCTCTGCAGGAGTACAAGCTAAAATTTTGCAAACTGAAGAAGTTGTTAAAGAACTAAATTGTTTCACTGTCCCATATTCAAATAATGTAATAAAAAATATATAAAGCATCTGGAGTGGTGATGTTTGTAATTGTTTATGCAAAAAAGTTTTGAAATTATTGCTGATATTTTAAAAAATTATTATTAATAGTTCTGATTCTTTACTCTTCTTATTTGCTTAGTACTGGCAAGTAGATTGGTATAGTAAATATGAAGCTGCAACACAAAAAGAAAGATATAGCATGTTCAGTTTTTATTTTAGTTTTCCTTCAGCTTAACAGTGGAGTTAAATTCTTGATCAAATGCATTTGAAATTCTTGCTGCTTTTGTGAGCTCAGCAACTTCACTGTCATTCTTCATTTCATGACTGTATGTTGTTCTGAATTTATGTATCCTGGTTGTCCAGTATGGAAAAAAAGTGATACTTCTTTAATTATGAAACTTCTACATTTCATCAATTCAGTCAATTTTCCAAGGTGTCCTTATTCTATAAATTCAATAGAAATTGTAATTTTATTTAAACAATTTAATCTAAATTCAAACATCACTCTTAACCCAGATTTTTGCCATTACCTAAAATAGTATTTTTGCTTCTGTGCTTTGCTCTTAGAGTGTATAAAGAAAGAGATACTTTTATTTCTTTTTAACAACATTTGCAAAGCACGTAGCATTATTTTTTGTTCAGGATGCTTCAGAAGTTTTCACTACTACCCAACTGCCCTTTACTGATTCATTGTTCACAACTGTATGGGTTATTTTGCTGGTAATGAATGGTAAAAACATAAATAAATTTTTGCTTAGATATATAAACAATAACCACTTCACCATTCACACAGCAAGACGGTGGGAAAGGTGCAGATTGATTTCTGTGAAGATATCAAATAGTTGCACTCAGAACATAGGCTATTCAGCGACAGCTCAAGGTTGAGAGGAAATACGATTCAAAGGGAAGCAACTTAAATCAGCATGTTAAGCTATCGGTGCTTATGGAATAATACTTAAAATCAAAAGTATTTAACATCTTAAGAGTAGAATGAAGGTTTTTAGTTGCAAAGGGAAATTGAAATAAGTTGCTGTAGTTCACAGTCTTCCAAGATATAAACCACTGCTCATAAATGCAATGATTCTTTAATTAAACCTATAAAAGTAGTTTAAACAGTAGTGTTTGACAAAGGCAGATTTTTTGTTGTTTTAGATAAACATCATATTTATCCCAAGCCACAGACTGGAAAACTAACCAGAACTGTTTGTTTCCTTGGTGAGATGGCGTCAGTGGTGGTCAAATATGTTGTCCACTAAGGAAATGATTTCTAGCTTCTTTAGCTACCACTGGAAATGTGCCTTAAGAGTTTCTATCAAGTAATTTATAAAAAGCACAAGTTCTAATCGTGAGTGTATGTGTAGTGTTTTCAAAAATAGATCATTAATGAATTATAGCAGACAAATTCAAGATCACTTTCTTCGGATTTAAAAATGTATTTTATTCTGAAATTAACCACCTCATTCTTAGCAACAGTGATCTCATTTTAGTAAATTTCCTGATACCTTTAAGTCAGAATGCTTCCAGTATAGCCAATAGTTGTATTATTCTAATTTGCATAATTCAGATCAGGAAAACAAAAAACTTTTTTGAACTGAACATGATATAAATATCTTTTTTTTTTTTCTGAATACCCACTTGGAAACATATTATGAGCATAACTGAATTTATTGCTATTCCCAAGAGGAATTCTTTTAGCAAGAACAAATCAGAATCACCTTAGAAACATGAAAATACCATGTATCTGTTTTCCAAATATATCACTAAACTGCACACAAAAGAAACGAATACTTATTAATAGCAGCAAAAACACTGAATGCTGAGTATGATTGTCACAGCTCAGTACACGTGAAGTTAAAAAAAGATGTAACTGGCTAATATGAATATGTTGGTATGAAATGTGTTTTTGAAATCTGTTGACGCTGATCTGATTGTGGCTTCAGTGAAGTTATTAGCATAATGTATGATGATGAATAATGAGTGAAGAGTTGAAAAAATATTTAAGTAAATTAAAATAATAATAATAATAATAATAATAATGTGTTGCCAGCCTAAATATCTGTTCCTTTTTTTTTTCTTTTTTCTTTTTTTTTTTTTGTTTTTTTGTTTTTTGTTTTAGATTTCTGTTTTACTGCTGTATTTAAGAATGTCAATGGATGGCAAAACTCATATGGCTTGGATCTAATTGGGGTTGGTTTACTGATTTTGGTAATGCCATGATTAACCAGTAATCAGTGAGCTGTATGTTCAGGATCAATAGCAGCTATGCAACTGAAAAACCGCAATGACCACACATACATAAACAAATATCTAAACGGTCCTCTACAAGTAAACCTAAAGTTTTCTAATAAGCACAGTACTGTAACAGCTACTCTGGTGTGGTGCATTCCCTCTTCAGACAATAGTTTTGAGTGTCCTTTCACATATATTCCTCTTTGCCAAGACTCAAGGTACCTCTTCTGTCTACACTTTCACTAATTCACAAATACTGACCCTATGCATTTACTTATTTACTTATTTATTTGTTTTAAGGAACTGTAGTCATCTTATGATTCTCCCATTTACTTTTTAATGAGTCCCTACCTTTTCTGTCTTGTTCACCCTGATATCCAATCACCACTGTTTACTAAAAAAACAGAATTTTTATACTACAGAAAATTTGAGGGGAGAAAAACAAACAGCTTTTGAATACAAAAACGAAAGTACTGAACATCTCCGGAAAGGCAAACACTTGATGGCATGTACTTAGCAGTGAAACAATTACATTATTTCTAATATTTATCTTAGACACCAAGATCTGCATCTTACTTCAATCCCTACTTTGTCATCTATATGCATGTCCTAACAATCTCAAACTCTTCAGGAGTCAGATTTGAAATTTTTCAAAGGCAAAATATGCTTCTAATTCATCCAAGCATATAAAGATATATATCCTTTTTTCACATGTCCTGGTTTCAACAAATCAGATTTTTTAAATCAAAAGACATTTCTAGTGGCCTGAGATGCATGATTAACACGGCCAAAACACAGCTTTTGTTTTCCCATTGTCTAGGTTTGCCTTCCTATAGCCATCGCTTCTCCCTCAGTTTTTCCATCTGCAGTGTACAGTACATTTTATTTTTACTTCTTCGTTCCCATTTGTGCAGTGCTCTGTTGTGATAGACAGCCCAGGTCTAATCTCCAGAGGAAGAAGGAAATGATTCCCTCCTCTGATGGTATTTCAGGTGCCCAGGTTCAGTTGTAGGCTTTCAGCTCACTGTTGTGCCTCTCGATTTATCTTCCACCTGCTATACTCTGGTCTCTGGTCCCTCTTTGGGAAAGAAAAGTCTGATCAGGGCAGAAAAGTTTTCAGCCACATCTACAGGGTAATGAAAAGAGAATATTTCAGGGGATTAGAGGGGGCTGTGCAGATCTTGCTGCAATTCTGAAAGTCCCTGGCTTAGCTGAAGCCAAGTCAGAAAACAAGGACACACAGGTGCTAGAGGTGGGAGAGGCATTGCATTAAAACTGTGATCTGTCCTCCCTGACCAATCTGACTTTATTTAAAAAACAAGTCATTTTAATCTTTAAAAAAACTAATCTTGTCTTTTTCTAGTAAAAATCTTTCAGTTTTCCTTAGGAAACAAGACATAATGAAAATGTTTAGATAGATATATCTTACACGTGTAGGTAGTTTAGGGTTAGAATCTGTCATTCTCTGTGAGCTAAACTTACAAGTTTTTCTTAGAGCCATATTACAGATAATATCTTTTATTCAGATCTTGGCCCTGAAGTCTGCCAACCTGTCTTTCCATTTTTACCTATGTAATAATTTTAAGGTCATCTTTTCGTATCTTTCCAGTATGCCCAGGGTCTGCATTAAGTGTTGTGTGCCTCACACATTATAGTTTCCTCTTCTTTAGTCTGAATGATATCTCTACTTCTCTGTTCCCTTCTGTTTAAAATGTTGCTGTTAATATTAGCTCCCTAGGTGGTTTTTATGGTCTCAGTCTCCTTTTTTTCCTCTACTAGTTCCTTCCAGCATAGAATACAATAAAGGTGGGGAGGAAAAAAAGGCAATTTTGTTACTCATAAATTTGAAAAGGAGATGGAGGGAGGAAAATAAAATTGAGATGACAATAAATGATACAATTTTGAAATGTCAACATTTTTCTGAAGTTCTTTGAGTATTTCTTAATTGTTAAGGGGGGAAAAAAAAAAAGTGGCTGAAATGGTGATATCCACATTATTATTAAATTAAATGGCTTTGTCTTTTTTTATATATGTATTTTTTAGGTCCGAACATGGATTCTTACAGTGGGATATACAACTGCATTTGGTGCAATGTTTGCAAAAACATGGAGAGTTCATGCCATTTTCAAAAATGTAAAAATGAAGAAAAAGGTGAGGGGAAGTTCTCATTACTCTGTTAATACCATTATCTAACTGTTTTGTTGCATGTTCTGGTTTGCTAGGTTTGCTGACTCTGTTCACCTGTCACATCTAAGTATCCTTAACAGTTTGATATTTGGGCTTTCTTGATCTCCTTTAATAGCGTGAGAGTGGGAACCAAGCAGCAGCTGTGACCTAAGTGCATTCTGTCCTCACTCTTGTTTGATATGCGGTGTAAGCACTCAGAAGACTTACAGATTCAGAACTGTTAGGAAATGCTTCCTGTATATCTTTTTGGGATGTAGGTATTACACACAAGTTTCTCATGGGTTGGTAGGAAAAGGCAAACAACAGTGCTACTTATGTAGATTTCTATTTCTAATTTTGATTTGAAATTGCATGAGCTTTGTTTTCGACTGATCAAAAAGAAACCACAGCAGTTATCTCACATATTTCTAATGTAGAATATTAGAATGAGAATATAGATTCATATAGAGTATGAATGATTAGGTCTAGGCTTAGCTATAATGCAACTCTTCATGTTTTTACTGTTCATTTTACTTTTCCCATGGAGCTTCTTTTTACACATGAAGTGCTTTTGGTAACATGGTTTCATTTAAAAGTGAGGAAACGGAAGAATAGAAAACATGTTGATGTAAAGAGAAACATTAAGAGAACTGTGAATGAAACAGAAAAATAAAATTACTGTAATGTAAAAGTACCAAATACAGTTCCTCTATACAGCTAAATATATTTACTCTAGTAAGTGATAAAGAGGCATTTACACCCAAAATAAGGAAAACAATATCCAAAACCTCTCCAAAACTTAGTGGGGATTTGTTTGGTTGGTTGGTTGGTCTTCTGTGTTGTTGTGGTAGGGTTTTCTTACTTTAGTTTGGATTGTGATTTATTTGTTTGTTCTCCCATGTTTGTGTGGTCATTGAAGAGCTGTAATTTGTTGCTATTGTTGCTGTTAGTACCTGTCTTATTGTTTACACAGCTGGAATCTATAGGGAGTTACTGTCTCTGGAAGACACAACATTCTTTAGAATGAATAGAGGGAGAATTAGCTCAGTTTCTTAGAGGACTTTTGTTAGTAGATCGAGTCTTTCTCTCTACTGTTCTAGAGTATAGAACCTGATCGGGTCAGGTCTATTTAAATATTTGCTAATGAAATCCTAAATATTAATCAAGGTATAAAATAAAGAAGAGTAAATAACTAGTATCTCAAAAATTAATTACAATTCTAAGTAGAGTCTGTACCCAAAACAGAATGCCCTGGGTGGATGAAATTGGAGACCACCCTCTGTGAACATCTGCAGATGTATCTGCTTATGCTCCCAGAGTCTAACATGTATTTTTCAACAGTCTTAGACTTTTCACCCAAGCCTGAGCCAATAATTCACTCTCTTGAAAAACAAAATTTCGTATAGCAAATATGCTTTTAGCTATATTGATACAAATCATTGTAAATTCGTGGTTACACAAAATACTGCCAGTGCAACACATAAAATCACTTAATAAATTTGATTATATTGAAAATTTTATCATTTTTACAGTATATGTTATTCCAGATATGAATGAACAGTACTTCAATAGACTGTTATAAAGTGTTTACTTTATGTTGTTGTTGTTGTTGTTAAGAAAACATTTAATTTTAGAGCTACAAGTTGCAACTTCACAATAATACTCAATGTCTGTTAATTAAACATCGTCTTCAAGTTCTGCATAGTGCCTGTTCCTTGACAAGCCCATCAACAATGGCAGATTGCAGTTGCTTATTTGCAACTGAAGGGTGAAAACGTTTTAAGGTCAGTAGCAGTGTAAGGAGGATAAACTTCTAGTCATTTAGATGCTGACCAATAAGTTCTTTTCTTTGAGTGATTCTGAAAGCATCAAGGGTATCAGGATTATTAAATGTATTGAGATTAAGATAAGAATACATTTGGTTCTGTAAACTGTAAAGAATGAAATACATTTGGTTCTGTGAACTGTAAAGAATCACTGTTCCACAGAATAATCTTGGTTTGCATTGTTGGATATCTTGTCCAGAGCACAGGCATGCATCATCAAAAATAGCCTTCTTGAAAGAAAATGTAAAACAAACTAGCTATCTGCAGTAAATACATGCGTTTTCTATCTTTGATTTCCCAAGACAGATAAAACTGTATTTAAGAGCTGATTCAAAACCATGGCATTCTTTACTTATGTATTGTAAGACATTTCCATTTTCAGTAGATGTAGTTTACAGACAAAGCATTTTGTGTCTATTAAAGCACAGACAATACAAATTTTCACAAACAATCTCTAAGCTGACAAAACATCATAGCTTTTGCAAGAAAAAGGAAAAAAGCCACATTAGTGCTTTTGGAATTAGCTTTGCCATGTCAGAGCAGACTGCCATTTCAGTACAAAGTGTGCAAAGTTCCAAAATTGTTTAAATACTTTAACTCCTGTTCATCTGTGGTCAGTTCAGTTTCCACTTCCAAATAAATATGTTAGTATAATCTTACATTATATACATATATGCACCATTTTTGCTTTTAATCCTGGATATTGTCATCGGGAAACTTTCCAAACTGAGATTTTTTTTTTCACAGAAGGAAAATATTTCTCCATTGCTTTTGACAATTTTTACTTATTCATTTAATGAGAGTGAGTACTAAGGGAGGGAAAGAAGAATAGTGAAGCTATTAATCTTCATCACATAGGGCAAGATTGCTTCTAAATTTTTGCTGAGCACCTATCTTAATGTACAACATAACTTTATGAAGAGTGAAGAAATGAGTGGATTTTTCTCTTGTGAGCAAATGTATATAATTTTAAATAATAGTACACTGTAGCATCATTCAAGTGTAATGGAGAGTAGAAGTAATTGATTTACGATGTCTTGAATTAGGTGAAGTTTTTTATTAACTTCTCTCAGAATTCTCTTTTGTTTTCAACCTTTATGAACCCACTTGCTTATCAGAAAAATCAGAATGCCCTCCTTCAGCTTTCGGTCTGCTAACTGACACATTTTGCAAGACTCCCAAAGTTCTGTTTACCATCTTTGATCTTACCAGGACTCAGTGGAAGCAAATTAAAAACATTTTAATTTTATCTGGATCTGAAACAGAGAGGTGCAACAGAATCAATTTTTTGTTAAATGAAAATGACAAAAACAGTAGGGGGAAATAGCTTTTTTTTTCTTAGTTTTAAAGACTTTTTTTTTTAAGATGTCATAAAGTAGAACGGAATTTACATTAAAAATAAGCAAAACACTCATCAGTAAGTGGTAGTTCTGTTTTCAGTAGGACCCCTTACTGTTGGTTTATATGCCAGAACATCTGCTCGGTGCAAGGTGGGGACTGCCTTTATGTTTTCCTGACCAGCAGAGGAGGACTGGCTGCAGGCAAGAGGAGGGAGAATAGCAGTAATGGGAAAGAAAAGCATGTGGTGTGCTGGTGAAGCTAGCTGAACCGTTTGCAGATGCCAGTCCTTCTGGTGAAATTTAAAAGGCTGTAAAGTTGCCTTTTTTTCTGGAAGCTTTGCTGTTCCTAGAGGTGCAAGTCTCAGGGGGCTTTCAAGCAGTCCTGCATAGTGACAAACATCACCAGTGCTCAAAGCAGACTGTTCACTTCCGACAAAGACCAGAACAGTAACAAATTCAAGCCAATGTTTTTTAAAGACTCCATAAACTTTATATATTCGGCTCCTACAAAGACAAGTATTTGTCCACTTGAAGGTTAATACAATAAAGCATTATTATCTATGCCACAGTGCTGCACAATGTGCAGTTCATATTTGAAAGCATAATACTTCACTGTTGGTATTGCTTTGGTAATCTTGTCCTACCTATAACACACTTCATTTTAGCATTGCCTATTTGCACTTCATCCTTTAAATATGAAATCCAGGGAGGGATATTCAATGTTTCATTTCCCACAGAAAATTCTGTAAATGTACATTGTTACTACCACTGTAGACTTCTGGTGGTATATATCTTTACATTGCATTATTACCAGGTAAATACAGAATATGATTACACAAGGAGTTGCATAGCAGAATCCTTGCTTAAGACTTGTGCTGCTGTAGTTTTGCCAGTGCTATCCTGTTATTTGATTATATGTTGTAAGCTTTTCTCTGTTATTGAACTTAGTCTGTGATTATACATTTCTCACAGGTGAGATAGGCTTAAAAAGCATAACAAGTTTTGAGGATGAGATATGGTTGCTAGCTTAGTGTTAGAAGGCTTACAAACAACCACAAGAGAAATGACTTGCAGGTTTGACTTTACTTAGCTATGCCTGGCAGACTGCTGTTAGGCTGTGGCGGTCTTATTTTCTTATGTTGAATCTAATGAGTCCTTAAAGACTTCTGGAGAGGGTAGTGGTCTTCATGCATCATCAAGAAAGGTGCTTGTATGGGCTGCTGTATCAATGCTAGGATGGCAAAAGAAGCCTAGCACTTGAACTGTGGGGCCACAAGGCATGGGGGGGGGAAGGGGTGAACATAAGGAATCAGATTCTCTACAAAGGGCTTTTGTAAGAACTGAATGTGGATAGAAAGAATAGGGGAAATCTTGAGATTATAAATTAGTATAATAGTTGGCAAGCAAATGAAGGAAGAACGAATTTAGAAAAGAATTCCCTAAGAGTTAAAATGCAATTGAGAGACAGCAAGAAATTGAATGGGGGAATAGGGGCTGCTCAGCAAAAAGTGGTCAGGAAAACTGAGTGCGATAGAATGAAGAGCCAGAGGCTGGGATTCAGACTGTAGCTGATGGACCAGGTCTGGTTTAGAATTAATTTACCATTGAAATTCAGAGACAGACAGGGAAAATAGGGATATAATAGAAGGGAAAAGCAGCATCAAAGGGAGAAAAGATTAAGAGGGAAGAAAAAAAATGAAATTAGAACTGACTGCAATGGGTGCAGAGTATGTGAGCTTCTTCTCAGAGCATATAAGTTGAATAGGGACGTTTTACAGTTTTGCCACACTTTTTCTATTACTATGTATATTTGAAACCT